ATATGAGCTCTTACTATGTGAACGAGAAATAATAGGTAATAAAGAAAATTGACGAAGTCCTCTTATATGAATTTCCATTATACATATAAATATTCAAATAAATGGAGTTTTCCTGTTAACTGAATATACCTTTATTTTTGTACATTTAATTAATATGACTTTCATCTAATTTAACGCAAGATTATCTAATTTCATTATTTTGTGTATTGTTCGCCAAAATAAAATTTTATATGCTGTTGCGAATTCTCAACTAAATAGCGATCGGTCAGGGTCAACCGATCGGTTGATATCGCGAACTTTCAATGAGTTAACACACAAGGTTGAGGTAAATTGAATATATCGAGTGTTAGTATCGTTTGATACATTATTTGCACTTTCAGTATACACGAAGAGTTTGACGTTCTGATCACGACGGTTGTACGATCTTGTTGAGACTGAATATGGTAGAGTCTCAAACGAACGGTACGGCACTCTGATGAAGACTGTTCAAGAATGTAGCTGTTCCCTCCACCAACAGCTCCGTCTCGTCCGTAAATCCTGACTTTCCGTCCGTGGGTTTTCTTTGGTTTACCTGTATCGGGGGTGCATATCCTCTGGTATTGTCAGTTGTTTACCTATGCCCCGACCCATCAGCACTTAAGGTGATTTTTAGTCTCTTAGTGATGACCGCATCATAAGGTTTACAGCTCGGGGAAGCAGACACTTCAGACTTTCCCAAAAAAGGGAGATGTGCTGTCCGAGTCAAATCTCCAAATCTCGAACATATGCATCACCCTAGTCACACTATTTTATCATTTTTAATAAATTTTGCTAATTATTGGAATGTAAAATTTCATCAATTTTATATTATTATCTTTTATTTTGAAATTTTCTGGAAATTGTAAGAAATTTCCATGATATGAAAAAGGAGGAGTACTTTTAGCTTAGGTGAGTAATATTTTCATGAGTCACTGAATTTTCCTAACGGGTCATTCAAATTACCGCGACGCATAGAAGTACCACCGCGTCTTCCTCGACGAATTCCTTCGCACATGAGGTCAGGATCATTCCAATTATTTTCTTCCAGCGAAACGGCTCCTGCACTCGCGTTGTAGTACCGTGACTCACGATCGTTTGTACAGTGCCGCGTTGCGGCAACCAGGAGGTGGATTTTTAATGATCTGCCGTCGATAATTAAGCACGCTTGCCTCTCGTCGCAAAATTCCAATCAACCAGCCTGCACGTTTATCGAGAACAAAGGCTTGAACTCTGCAAGGTGTTACCACGGTTTTCAGCGTGTTATAAACCGCGAGCCGAATTTTTCGATGCCGTTCTTTGCGTAGAAAATTGCACAGATTCCTTTCATTTGGCGTCAAAACGGTTTAAAGTGGCTGTAATTTCTAATTTCAATGGAAGCTCGAGGTGGAAATTAGTGGAAGAACTACGCGAGCACCTTTGGACCGACGCTAATTAACGAATTGAACAGAAGCCGGGGCTCACATTACCCTTTCTTGAGCTGACTTACCGTAGCTGCTTTATATTTCACAGCTGATTTTCTTTAAGGGCGAAGTAGCAACCATCGAATCCATTATGTGTAAAAATTTTCACGATAGAAAAAAGAAGTATAACATCACACATGAATATTTAAGAAAAACAAAATAAGAATTCTATCATCCTAAAAACTGTGAAAAAAATTCTTTAACATTTAAAGTATTAATATCACGTTGATAACAAAATTAGCAGAAAATTCAATTATTAACGATTCGTATACCCAGAACAAATCTTTCCTCAATATTAGAAAATGCAATGTCATACATTTCTCTCTTACAACTCTGTACTATTTCCTTCTGGACATTCACCTTTTTTTATTAACTCTATTGGTGATCCGAATGTGTTCGACCGTTCGCGGAGAGACGCGATCGCGAAGAAGCGCACCAACGAGAGTCGTAAATTCCCGTTACGATTTGATAATCGACGCCACGAATTGGTCGATCCCCTATTTCGGTTAGGATAATAGAGGTGGTTGAACTGATGATAACACTTGGTTAACAAATTAAAACATGCACTTTATTCCAACAACTTTGTAGATATAAATAGTTATGCGTGGTGTGTGTAGATGTATTCTCAGCGGAGTGTAAATAGTACGGAAAACCATTCAAGAGATGGTGACTGATTTAAGTACGAAAATCCAGTCAAGACATTGACTGGTCAACGAATGAAAAACCAATGAAGTTCGGTGACGATGTTGTCGCGGAGGAAAGCTACTGATGGGTATGTCTAACGCACGGGACCATCGGATTCGTTGATGGCAATTTTGGCCGGGAAAGTGAGGGCAACCGTCATTGCTACTAATCGGATAAGAAAAAGGCTGGTGGGTAAGGATGGGTCCTGGTCGCTTCCATTCAAAGCTTGCCCGTGGGTGGTATTGTGCATAGGAAAACCGTTTCCCATGTTTTCTCGGAACGGACAATAAATCTCAAGAATACTTCAACTAAAAACATATTTTTTTGGTCTCAAGGACCTTAACTATGAAAATGCGAAGACTTATGATAGGACTTTAAGATTATTGAGGCATGGGGTCTGGTTTGTATAGAGAGTCACCGGACGTAACAAAACGATTCGTCATTATCTTTTTCCGATCACACGATTCGGGAAATATGCTCAGCAAAGAAAGCCTTAAGCTTCCTGGTAAGATTTCCCACGGGTCAAACACCAAGACACAGCTTAAAACAGTGCAACGATGCAAACGGGCAAGCTGCTTACAGATTTGGTCAAATAATTTCTACCACCTACTATAACATGTCCAGCTGGACAAATTGTAAAGTACAAATTAAACAATAATAATAAACAAACCTACTATAACCATTTTAATACTGTACAAATACTGCAATAAATATGAAACTTGGGTCATAGGAGGACTACCACTGATTTGATTTACTTTCACAGGATACTTGATGGATATGTTTGCTGTCTAACGATTCTTGCTAATACTAATATATTATACATATGTTAACGTCCATAATATCAAACATATACCTCCTTGTTTGGACAACTGGTGACACTAGATTATCTAATGTAGCTAACAAGTTCATCGACACCTTAAATCTTTTTGGCGATTCAGTGTCTCGTTTTAAGTCTAACGGTTATTTAGCGGATTTATTTGACGGACCTAACCACTAAAATTATACCTCAAAGGGGCCAAATAATTTACAACAAATAGATGAATATTGCAAATTTTTCGATATACAACGCAAATCCAAAATTTTAAATATATCCCACATTTATTCTAATTTCTTAAAGAAATATCTTTCGGTACAGAGTATCTTTGAGAGTATCTTTGGTACATTTTCTCGTAAAACTAATCGCCTCGAACCATCCGATGCGTCAAAGAATTCAAAAGGACAAGAATACTCGGGGAGAGCTTGTCACATTCCTCTTTGATAATCCACCGGAGAGGCAGAGAATTTCTTTCGGGCGCTTCTTTCTCCCAGTGTCAGGTAGAAAAAAAGGGGAAAAGGGACACGGAACTTTCGGCGTGACGACGCTCGTCGTGGCATCGTTAGAAAAATCCCTTTCGCCCGTGGGGCGTGTTCGCGGGTGGAAAAGTCTCAAAGAGTTTCTTGCCAATATGAAACGAACGAGACAGCAGAAAAGAGGAGGAGGTACTTGCGGGTACGTCTTACCTCGTTAAGAGAATAATGCCCTTCCGGGGCAACCGAACAACTTCCATCGTGGTAGACTAACGAGAGTCAACGATGCAGACGAGCAAAAAGGAGCACGACCACCCTTAACAAAAGCCAATCAACCCCTTCGAGTTTATTGATGCGACCCTTTGAAGTTAAGAATGCTCAACAATGATTAAGGATTTTGTCAAGGCTTTAGTGAACGACCAATTTACCTGTTTAACTGCTTACTTAAACGGTTCAGATTAAACGGTTCTAAGAAATCGGGTAAAATAAATCAACAAATAGTTGTAAAAAGATATTTATTTTATACTTGGTTCAATATAAATAAATGTACAGGGAAAAATATTACGAGTAAGATTTTGGAAATAAAATAGTTAATAATGAAATACTTAAAAAATATTGGATCAAAGGAGTTTGACGAAAATCATATTTCGGTTTCGTTAAGATACAATATTAATACTGTCAAAATTACCTACATGTTCTTAACGATTTCAAAAGGGAGAAGATTGAGGTACAGTATTTTTGTGGAAAAAATGGCGATATAAGGCACGAAACTTTCATACAAACGATATTTATTTTATACGCGCTTCGATGCAGAAATATATAAGGTGGTTGGTAACTGGTGGTACAAGCGGACAGGGGGTGATTCTACGCGAAAAAATAAGTCGGAAATATAGAATAAAAATTTTTCGTTTGAGGCTTTGTTTTCGAGAAAATCGACTTTGAATTTTCGCTCGGTACGCGTGCGGTACGTTATAACGGATCTCACTGTAGATCGTTGTCTCGATGGAAAGATTTAAAAAAAGAAATTAAAAAAAATTCTTTATTCTATATTTTCGACTTCTTTTTTCGCGTAGAATCACCCCCTTTCCGCTTGTACCACCAGTTACCAACCACCCTGTATATAAAGAAGGATAACGTGAATAAAATTTTGAAGAGATAAAATAGTAGTATATTCGAAATTTATGTTGGAAACATGAAACATATACGTAGATGTATATAGAAATTCCGATATATCTTGGTATCGAAAAGTACTTTTCTGTGTCCCTATTCGCAACTACGACAATAAACGCACTGGAGTACATGGGCGACTTTATATGAGAAAATAATGTTTCAGGAGAAAAATTGCTCTGCAGAAAATTGTTATTCTTCACGAATTTATTCACGATCTTATATATACACATTTCCTATGCTGATGTGGTTACTGTGGTTATAAAACTCCTAAAAACATTCTTTGAAAATTCATGACTCTTCTATCGTCTTAAAATCAACTTTCATATCTTCAACGATTAGAATATTTCATTTGTAGGACTAACTGATAATATTTGACTGCAGGACATGGACATGCTGCAACTGTTCGCCTCGCCGGCGGGACGAGCGTTGCTCACCAGTGACAATCGGCGGAGAGGATCGACGTCGACCTCCTCCTTGTCTCGAGAGTCCTCTTCGAGGCTGAAGAGAGGCAGAAGACCATCGGGTACAGTCAGTGCGCCGACCACACCACCAAGGCAACGGAAATCGAGCGCGGAACTGTACAAAGAAGCTGTCGAGATTCTTGGTCTTACCTGTTCGTTGACCGATAGCTGCCCATGCATCGATTGCCAGGTAAATACATACATGTTCTACATGTTTTTACTATAATAAAATGTGTATCCGTAACGTGACATAGTTATAAAATTTACAAATCAAACAATAAGAATTATCTCATATGTGGAGGTCAGAAAATTTTATAAAACTTTTTTTTTAAGGAATCCAACTTTACCTAATTTTAAATTTCTGTAGATGTGATTATAAGGAGGTATCATTTTAATTATAATGATAAAAATTATACTATTTGATTAAAACATTTATGTCAAGATTACATATATCTCCTAGAGTACATTTACACGGTAGTACCATAAAATATTTTAACGCTGAACTAATGTTCGTACGTGCTCCATTACAGCGGTCAGTTTTAGGGTCACTATAACACTCTTTCGTAATAAAAGTGATACTCCAAATTGCTATATAAATTCGACGATATTTTTCCATTGTACATGAATTTATATTTCTTTAACCTTTTCAGGATTAACTTCTTTCGTAGTCAAAAAAATGTCTTTTGTATTAATAGCTAATAATAGGAAAATATCCTCTTGTAGGGTTTTGTAAAGAAGATACAATCCATCCAAATTTGAGACCGGTTTCACTGGAAATAGATACATTTATTGTTTATTTAGGTAACATCTTATTAAAGTACAATATATCACGTAATGTAGAAAGTGAAAGGAAAAAATGAAAACGCAGAAATTTCCTTTAATTTGTTATAAGTTATTATTCGTTTTATTCGTTAATATAAAAATTTTTATAATATGATGGTATCTCTTCAAGTACAAAAATTCCAAATAAAAGTTCAGTTTCCTCTAGTTCTTTTTACGGAATGGTGGAAATTACAACGCGTAATTGCATCCATTCACGAACTCACTCACGCGACGCGTGCAATTAGCGCGAGTCAGAGAGTATAATCTTGGAAATTAAGAGGATATTGTCTCGATTTTAGAACTAATTGCCTAAAGCTCCCAGTGTACCAATTATAGCCGAGGCGAGGCGGTTCCCATTGATTAGCCATTTTCTCGACCAAACGCGTAAATATTTCTTTGCCCCAGTTTTCCACTTGCGCGACCGCGATCAGCTGGCGTTCTCGTTTCGAAAAGCCAATGAAAGAAAATGCAACGTGGAAACTTGGCGTCTGAATTTAATTAAAAATTTTATTGCGTATCGGTTAACCTATTACAATTTTCATTCCACCGGAAATTTCGCAAGGCGTGCGAGCTTGTTTGTGGAATCTCGGAATAACTAACGAGAGAAATTTCGTCCTCTATTTTTACTCGCGATAGAATATACATATGCGGAGACGTTAATGAGACTGTTAGCTTTTTTTTTTAGTTAGCGTATTTCTCAGCTCGTAACAAAGCAAACTGTGTATTTTCGAGCATTTACGGTCAGAGAATTTTCACATTGAGTTTGCTTTCCAAGGCCAACGCTGGTTGGCATTGAACTTCCAAGGTTAAATATTTTCTTTTGCATGCACCTCCGAGGCTAGACCCTTCGACCTTTTAATGGTTAGCTTAACTACACAGCTAAAGCCCTTTCGGTTAGAGAGCTTAATGTCGGAAAGCTCGCCACTTTGAATTACTCGATAACGAAAAGCTTTGAACTTATAGGCTAAAAGTTGAAAAAACTTTGACCTGGGAAATTGAATGTCGCAAAGATCGAACCTCGGAAATTTAACGTCAAAGAGCTTTAGCCTCGGAAATTTAATGACAAGAAGCTTTGACCTCCGAAGTTCAATACAGTAGAAGATCTATTATCCAAGCATATCCTATCTAAGCGATAATATTTAACGTTTCAGATAATATTTAACAATCCAATAAATTATCATTTTTTATGCTAACAATATGTTGTTATCTATATATTAGTTTGATTAAATAATATTGTCCAAGAAATTCAGCTATTCTGTTTGTAACTGATTAATGCGAATAATAAAGATCTCGTTGTACCAAAAGTTTCTCACCGCCAAAGTTCACGCTCTTCTATTCTTCTTTTCTTTTACAAATTACTCTGTCACTTGCAAACACGCATTTTCCAACTAAATTCAAAGTACATAATCCATTAAAAAATATCAACTTTTATATCATGATGAAACATTATTCGTCTCTTTTCCAGAGTAATTATTTCGACTGCGACGAAGATTTCGGCGATGCGAGAACGGAATTGGCTGCAGGCACGCCCATCCTGCTGGACCACGCTTTGTCACATCCATTGACGTGTTCCATACAGTAGCAGCTGAATATCGCGTTTCGAGTACGACTTTACATCCGCCTGTTCTGCCATCTGACGAAACGGAAATCATCGAGGTGTCGAGGATCCATCGGGAACGCTGAATTCAGAGCAAAGTGGGAACGCGTGTACTTGAACGTGTACAGCGTGTACGTTTAACGCCTGTACTTTGATCTCTGAAAACTCTCAAAACGAGAAGATCGCGTGAATTAGAAAATAGAAACGAGTATATAAAGAGCTGAATCTTAAATGCTGATTTTTCGATAATTTCGTTAAATAATTTCGTCAAAGGAAAACGAAAAACGTTCAACGCGCCGAAAATCTGCACCAAGGTCTTGATTCTCATCGATATGCTTCTGAAAATGTTCACGCGTCTTCTTCCAACGTCTGATATTGCGTTCATTAAGTTCTTCGGCGATATAATAGATTGTAATCGATTGTATGTATGTACGTGTACAGGAAACGCTAACGTTATATTATATTATATGGTGAAAAGACGTGTTAATAACCCTAAGATTTTGTATCTTTCAATTGCGTTCAATCGTAAAATCGTTAAGAATTTACTTGCTAGTAACAGACACGAAGTTTCGATCGTACTTAACACAAACGAAGAGCAGGGGTTTCCGACTTGAAAAACGCGATCTCATGTGATTCATTCGATCATCGTTCTCCTCTCGATGGAACACGATATTAATTATAACGATAATTAAAAAAGGAAAAAAAAAAAAGAAAACGAGACACAACCATCGCGAACGATAAATATATAATTTGTGGACAATACATCGTAACGGAATAAGTCACTGCTCCGATTGTTTCTCCTCTTTTTATATGAAACGAAGAAAAAGATAATAACGCAGGCTTACGTTATTACGTATCTAGGAATATCTATGTACAAAATATGCCCCCTGAATGTACAACAGTTTGCCGGTAATCGCGCCTGGCTGCTAAAAATTGATGGAAACAAATATCGAGATAACAAACATACATACAAAAAAAAAAGAGATAAAACTAGAAAATCGAAATTCATCGTTTCACGTTTTTATTATTAAATATTTCTATATATATATTGTCATCGATACCGAATAAAAATATCTAACGCGACCTTAAATTTCGAGCAAAAATTTCTGTACGCGCGTACGGAGGAAAGAGAAATAAAATATATAATAAATGGTATATATCGAAAAAATACAATATGGTCGTCTGGCTCAAATTCGACGAATTTATTTATCGTCGCGAAACGATACACATGCCAAATGATATAAAAAACAAATGCGCCAAATTTCTATATTAATTAGCGATAACGATACTAAAAATAAATAATAATTAATATTTAATGAACGATAACCCTAATAATAATACTAATATTAATAATAAATTTCGATCTAGTCGGAAGGTTGATTGAGACGTTTATTAGGTAACATTTAAATCGTTTATCGACGTACGCGATATATGAGGATTATATATATATGTAATATATAATATATAAATATATATATATATATTATACACATATACGTGTATACATACACATTATATTTACTACACGTTTTATTATTATACTTATTCGATTAAGTCTAGTAGGGTATATAGGGTTGTTGAACGTTTATGAGCTCGCAAACAAGCCAAAATAAGGTAAAGCTAAAGGATGACTAAAGAAAAAAAATGAAAACCAGAAATAGAAGGAAAAATAAGACTAAAGGAAGAAGTGTAACGCGTTGATACTTAGAATTTATATACGTGTAAAGATCGATACGTATGCGTCGAACATATACATCTGTGTGAATAAGTTTTCTGAAACCGATGCTTTTCGTTAAGTGTTCCGCGTTTAAGTTATTTAAACACGTCGACTGCCGTTTGCGATTCTCGCCGATGAGAGAGCATCGTTAATTTTAATGACGTTCAGGAGTTTCTTCTTCAAACTTTGCCGTTCAGCTAACAAAATTACGGTTTATTCTGTCTGCCTGTAGTATCGTAAACGTTATTAAAAAACTCACGTCTATTTCCTACAACGTGACGTGAAACTTTCGGGCGTGTGTAATTACGAATAAAATAACGTAAATAGTATTTACAATTTCCTGCCAAGGTTTCGTTCGAAATTTCAATTGTAAACTAAGAAGAAAAGGGGCGAAGTTTTATTTGCGACAGTCGACGTAACACACGAGAATCGTGACTATGTATAAGCGACGTAACGATAAACGAAGCTAGGCCTGAGTTACGTAAAATCGTAGATGGACTGAAAGAAATCAAAAAGAACGAATATACGAAAGGAGAGATATTGTAAAAAGGGCTGGACACTTTGTTGAGTGCTTCTTTATAAGAGAAAGAAGAAAGGAAACAAGAACATGTATTTACTTACATATATCTAAATCCGCGTCTAAGATGAGTGAAACAATATGAGAGAAAAAGTCACATTTAAGAATGCAAGTGCCAAATTAAAATTTAATCGTGCGACGCTCGTAAGCTTAGTGGTTCGCTATCGAAATCTCTTCTTAAATTATCCGATAGATTACGAGTTAAGAGAAGAAACGACATGACAGGGCTGAATATTCGCAAATTTTACCAAACTTTACAAATCTTTAAACATATTAAACGCATCGTGCTTTCCCTTTTAGAGGGAAAGGAAGAGGCATGTCGAATCTTCGATAAAACAAAAATAGATTCAATAAAAAGAAGATGATATATTCGACCATTTTATAAGTAATGTGGTCTTCCTAAGAGTCGAGATTAATATAATAGAACTCGCCATGAAAGTTTTATAAAAGGGGAATAGAAAACTTAAAAGAAAGGTTGCAAGTATCTGAGAATGAGAAAAGTGACGGGAAATACATGACTGATTTGTTACCGACTGAGCTAACGCAGGATATATCAAAATCATTAACATTGCATTGGAGAAGCATTTGAAATTTACTTCTTTTTCTTTCAGATATAATTATATTATTACATAAACAATATTCTATATATGATAATTATTTTTTAATTAAAAAATATACATTCGTATGTTATCCTAATTTTGACGCTGCTCGTACACCAAAATTTAAAAAAGAACGTATTGCTTATAAAATGACCTGATATACATTAATCGTAAAAATATCTCAGTGAACTTGAAACAATTTGATCAAGTTTTATACAGCTCCAGCGACGAGTCCTAAGCTTCTACGTGTTTTATTACGTTATCGTAAACGAGGATAAGCTGAAATGAAAAAGTTTCAGCCACGATTGCTTTCTTTTTACAACGAGACAAGCTGTCGTAGAGATGAAAGCCTGTCACATTTTACTGATCCATGATCCCGCTACGTTTGTGGAGAGCTTTCAACTTTTTTATCGCTGCCATTTTTTCGTCGAATTGTTTCGTGTATTGTTCACGAACAGAAGAAGACTTTTAAGATAATTTTTCGTTCGTAATACGAGTTCATTTTGTCTACTCGAAGAAGATAGTTGTAGAGTCACGTTTGTATAATCAGAAATATTATCACGACGTTGTTACGTGTAGATAGAAGGGAATTAAACGATTTTTGATCAACTAGTTACGAACGGAAGAGCGTCGAAGAAATGACAGATTTGTTGTAAGTTTAATTCACAAGTATCGTTACTTGTTAAAGCAGTTAGTAATTAAAAGTTGTTGAGATCTGTTCCACTTTTTTCAAAGTCGTTCTTGTTACTTGAGAAACCTCGCATTTCCGCCTCTCTTCCAGTTGAATTCAAACAGCCAATCGACATTCTAGGTCGTTCGTTTTGCGCGATCGTCGAATTGGTTTTCTCTCATCGACGAAAGTAAAAGAGCAATTAAGCAATCTTTTTCCCAAGGATATTTCAGAGAAATGCGTGAAACCCTTGCAAATGATGTAACGATCTTAAAAATAAAAAGATGGGGGAAAATAATACGTGGCTTCTAATCGTTTTATAGTAATGTAAGCCGTAATTAAGACGAGAATGATTCTTGCAACACGCAGCGGCGTACTCTTGGATATGACTACTATTAAAATACGATAAAATATAAATCATGCTCATTTTATTTACCACATTCCTTTATTAAATATATAATATAATTTCTTAAGTCTATACATAGTATAAAATTTGCTTATAACATACTTATAATTCTGTTATAACACACTGGATAGATCCATGAATCTCACTAGTTGCAATTTTACTTTTAACAAATATCTTTAGAAGATAAACAATTTTTTGACACCATTAGCTGTTGTATCATTGGTTGTTATAGATGTAATTTCCCATGCCAGCAGATAGCAACATATTTTAAACTTACAAATGATGATACCATCGACCGATAAGATAAACGCAGGAGATACAAAAATAGAATAATGCTTGACGTCGCTTAATATTTATATCGTATACCAGACTGTCTATGCAAAAGTTCTCGAGGACGAGTAGATTCGGGCATACGTTAATCGGTTATACTTTCCACGGAATTGGACAAGAAGCGACATCACATTAATTTCTGAGGCAACGGTTGTCGCTAGAGATTCTACCTTCTCTATAATAAGCATGCCGATACTTATATTCAAAAACTTATATTCAATAATAAAAGATATAAACAGCAGTTGTAAACCAATTTTTAACATTACCTTCGTATTATATTAGTATATCTCGTAGCATATAAGATTTCTAAGAATTGATAACGCAATGGAAATAGTAACGCACGAGAAATTTTGCAATGAAAAAATGAGGGCGCAAGACCCATTGATACAGGCCCTTTCATGTCCTATTTATTACCGTAAAGGAGAGGCTAGTTTACATAAAGATGCAATTTTCTCTTGGATGGCTACTGATATCAGAGGTGACAACAGGATTCGCGTTCACATACCTGAATCTTGGGTATCAAATATGGAGAAGCGATAGATATAAAAGTTCTTAGTAATAATGTCGGTAAAACAGCATGACGTCGGTAGGTTCGTCATAGGAAATCGCAGAGGGCATAAGAAAAGTTCTGATTTTTTGGCAGGATGATATTTCAGAACCTGGAATACAAAGTCCGGTCTTTTATTCGCGTGTATCCTATCTTTAGTCAATGATGAATAGTTTTTAGTAGAATTTTACAGATTAGAAAATGTTACCCTTTCTTATTAAAGTAGGAATCTGTAAATAAATAGTACCCTGTTGAGTCGACGTTAAAGAAGGAATCTTCCTTTCTGAATGATGAGGCAGAGTGTTCTTATATCAATATACAATTTATAAGAATCGCACTAAACTTAATCCTTAAACTTAATGTATATTATGGTCTCTTCTTTCATACTACTTAATAATAGCATAAAATTAACTTGTATATACAATGCCAATTTTTACTCTGAAATTCAGCATGAATATCCTACATTCTATTACATGTCTATCATTCTACAAGAATGTAATTACCTACATGCATACCTAATAATCATCTTACAATTCTTATCGAAAAAAATGTTTTCCTGTAACTACAACAATTTATTTCCTTCCACAAAGTCTCCATCATATTCTATCTATCTCAAAGCGTATCGGTAAGCATTTTATGCTCAACTCGGAGACCACTCAATCCAACGGAGAGACACCGATAGTAAACGACACTAAAGGCAGGCGGTAAATAGAAGCCAGGATGCAAATTGAATTCGTCGATCGAGCGAGAGGATACTCTTATTTCTTGGAAGTACCGAGTGCGAGTGGTTGAGGAAGCGGTGTAGGTGGATGGATCGGTGTCCTCTTCGTCGTTGTAGAAGGGTGCCTTAGGGAGCACCGCTTATATCGAGTTAGATCCGTTTGAATACCGAGTCGCTCTCGTTGGAAAGGGGGTGGTCGTACAAGATACTGTAGGATCAAAAGTTGATACCCAGTCACCTTCAACGGCTCTAGTCATCCTTATATGATTATCCGTAGACCTGCTGCTCGCAGTTTCTTCCGGTGGGTCGTGAAACAGGGGTTGGACTTTTCTTCCTTTCTTCTCTCACCTCGTCTCGATCTTTGTCTATCGCGAAACAGGTTCGATAGTATGCGTAGCACCTTGATGCAGTCGTTCTGCACGATACGTAGAATACCTAAGATCCTTGTCCTCGTATCTCGTGCCACCGAACAGCCATGGATCGAGCAGCCGGCTGGAATGACGTGTAGCACGCATAAAGTATTCCTCGGAGGCAATCCATTTCGAAACTGAGTTACGGCTGCTACGTGGTCCAGGTAGGCGTCGATACGTCCGCGAGGACGTCCGCGAAATTATGCACAGGGACACAGAGGGCTGGCTGATTCCATTTGAATTTTCCCTGCCGCGGAACATGGTGCTCAGGAACATGGCTCTGATGCAGCGAAAGGATATCTTAGGTATATGGTTTCTTACTTTT